TTATGAACATTAGGATATGTGATGTACGTATTTCACATATCCTAATGTTTTATGGGTATATACATGATAATGTAAATTATATACATTGTATGTACAAATGTATATACAGAGAACTTCTAATATACAGGGTGTTACAGATACATACTAGGCAGTACGACGAGTTGCGTGGTAAACTTTGCATGGGCAGACGCGGTTTTATAGACAATGACAGTGACTTTATAACATAAACTTTATAATATAAAGTCACTGTCATTGTATAATGTATAAAGTCACTGTTATTGTCTATTAAACCACGCTTGGCCATGCAAAGTTTGCCGCGCAACCCGTCGTACTGCCTAGTATGTATCTGCAACACCCTGTACGTCATTGTGGTAACATATGTATATATATACCTTGTATGTACATTGCATAAAAAAATATATACATGGTACATGTAATATACATGGTTGTACATACATTGTATATATTATGTATATTTAATGTTTTGTAGGATATATTAACCCTTAGCACACATCTTAGTTTTTGGCACTTTTACTACACACATTGGGTCTTTCGTGTTCTGAATTAATTTTCATCACTTTTACAATTATATAAAAATTATTAAGCGATTTTTACGTATATTTTGACATCTTTAGAAAATATTTGTAAAATTGTATATTTATAACACAAATTGTATATAAATTGTTATAACTAAACGTAGTTAACAAAATGAAAAAAGTGCACTTGTTCATACAAAAATGTAAAATTCTAAAATAAAAATATGTAAAGAAAAAATATGTTTCAATATATCTTAAAGTTGACATTCCAAATTACAAAAGAAAAAATAGTTCAAGTGTCGACTTTACATTATAAGTTATATAATTCATTCTTTTAATAAAAACGTTTTAATTGAGAAATCATCGTTATATATATTTAGTTGCATTTAAAAAGTGAAACGCGTATTATGTGATAAATCATTTATTTAACCTTTACCGTACTAATATGGGTAATTAGTGACCGAGCGATTCCTGTTCGTGCAAGTTTCTTGGAGTCTTTCGGTAATTATAAATTATATTACATTTTATTATTTTCCAAAATAAAGAGTCAATATTTATTCTAGAAAGTTGAAAGTACGTTGGTGAATTTTTAGAGAATTTTTAAATTATTTTGAAGAGGTGAAAAAACGAAGAGATTTGAAGTGACCCTTGATAGTATGGATGAGGCACCAAATTGTAGATGGTACGGTAAGGGTTAATAGGTCTATTTCTGTGACTGAACTAGTGTACACTTTTGGAACTTAAAGTGAGATAGGTATACATTTGATATTTGTCGTAAGCGAGAAAGATAGTTCTAGTACAGTCTCTAGTACAGGAACAGACAAAATATAAAAGTAAAAAACATAATAATTCGTTCGTACCGCGTTAAATTTGCTGGTGAAACATAAAATAATATTTTATTCAAAATGTACTGCATAAAACGAAATAAATTTAAAAAATTAAAATATATTGTACCTATATATAAAATATGTATTAAACTCTACATACATAAAATATAGGACATAAATTATAAATAAAAATGCATTATATTTTACCTTAAAACATCTAACAAAAATTATAAACTGCGTAAAGTAGGCTTTACACAAACGGCACAAAAATCAGAAATAAAATTATATTCTAAATGTATGTACATATAATATGACGTCATGGCCGGCGCGCGACGAAACATTCGCCGCTCGGCGCTCATTGTTTACAGCGGCGCGGCCTTGACCTTGGAACGTAACGGCCTTTTGTACATACACATTCGTCTTATCATTCGTGCGACGTGATTCGAGTCGGAAGGTGGCGAGGCGTGTTCCGTATGTCGTAACATAATTTTCCTACGAGGCGCGATCGAGAAGAGTATACGATCAAGGGAAAACGCAATCATTCTAAATAATTAATAGCCGGATCGTACGATTACTTAATTCTGTCCATAAATATGTTACGCGATAAAAAGCGACACAGTGGCCTGTGGCCAAGCTTTAATCAATCATTCGTTCTTTCTTACGATAAAGTAATAAGTTGACTACACTACGTCGCCTCTTAGGTTGTTCGAAAACTTCGCTTGAGTGCCCTTAGTGCGTCATTCTATCTTTATCGTAAAACAAGGATAAAATAGCACACTCAGGTGAAATCTCTGACCGCAGTCTAAGGGGCTCCGCACAATAAAAGAAACAGGGAACAGAAAACAAGAATTTCAACCTATCAGAAATCATGTATTGTGGAATACGCAGTGTGTATTCCACAATATATGATTTTTGATAGGTTGAAATTCTTATTCTCTGTTCTCTGTTCCGTGTTCCTTTTATTGTGCGGAGCCCCTAATTCCTGCGCGTAGTGCGTGGCTATATTCAGTCAGCAGGAGCGATCACTGTCGACGAATGACGATTCGTAAGTGTATTGAGGTCATTCGAGGTACCGAAGCTATTAATTCTTACGAAGGCAGATTTCGCACGATATTACTTGCCCGAGATCCGAGCCGAGATCGAAACGATAGGAAATGACGATTGATGGCAATTCCCGTATCGCGTTTGAGATCTTTGTAATGATTTTTAAATGAATTACTTTGCTCGATATAAAGAATTGTTACTGGATTTGAATATACGCGAACTGTATATATGGAGTAATTTAAAAACCACAAGAAAGCACGATAATGGCAATTCATTAATGAGATACGTGTGGTTTACGATTCGTCTAATAGTAAGATTTGCGTGTTCGAAATACGTGCGATGCCAAATTTTGATCGTATACTCTCGAACGGTCCGTCTTGAACTTGTCAGTCGTTAATCTAACCGACGCGGCGCTGCGTCAGGCGTCGTCTACAATACACGGAGTAAAAAGTAAGAGTAAGAAATTGACCAATCACAGTCGATTATTCTTCTCACATTCGACTGTGATTGGTCAATTTCTTACTCTTACTTCTTACTCCGTGTATTGTAGACGACGCCTCACGTTCTGACCGTTCGGAGTGAAGTTGCCGTGCGACGCTATTTTCACTATTCGTCAATCGTCAGCCATTATTAGAACGTTGCGTGCAGTGTTCGATACGTGTCCGAATCAAGTAGTGTCGTAAGTGGAGTCGTGACACATGGAATCAGTAATTATAGTGGTTTAATTTCGCGTTTCAATTTTGTCGACAATTTTGCAACGTAAGTTTCATACATCAGTGATTCGTTAAAGCTTACCTCCGCGCCGATCAGTTCTCGAAACATTGCGAGGCGTCGGTGTGTCTTGTTTGATAAACACATTCCGAGCGAATCGCAGCGTATCGTTCTATAGTTACTTCGTCTGTTTCTTTTCCCATTGCTTACTTCCGTCTCGATACGTCGCAGTATGATAAGTACGTCGTATGCCATTGATATCGGGAGTGTCGTTCCAAATGACGCGCGATCGTCTTATTCTGATAATTAGCGCGAGTTGTTAATTATCTAGTTTTCGCGAGTAATTTTGAGGAAATTTGAGAGGAGGAGGAGGCCTGGAGCGACAGCGGAACAACCATGAAGTCAGTGTTTCACAAATTATATGTTATTTGTGTTACTATTACATCAGAAAAAGAATCTTTAATTTCTGTTTGATTTCTGATCACTCATTGGGACGATTTATGTAAAATAGATTTTTACTTTTAAAATTTTAAATTCATTTTTGAAAAATTAAATTTGAACTTTTTTCTGAAATTATATATATTAATTTTATATATATATACACAATATAAAATTATTTTATGAAATATTTATTTGAAAGGCAAATAAAAAATTCAATTCGCATAATAATTATTTTTCAGATATAAATATTGGCGCGAGTGTTAATTACCGAGTTTTCGCGAGTGTGTGGTTTGAAAAGAATCTGAGAGGAAGAGGAGGCCTAGGAAGCATCCGGCAACGGCGGAGCACCAGATGAGGTGAGTATCTCATACATTATTTCAATTATTTGTGTGTGCTACCTGTAGAGAAAAAAATCCTTAATTTCTATGTAATTTTTAATCATCTATTGTGATGATTTGTGTTAAAAATAAGAAAGTTTACTTAAAAAATTTTTTAATTCACACTTAAGAAATTGAACGTGAATTTTTTTTGAGAAAGTTACATAATTATTTTATGAAATGGTTATTTGAAAGGCAAATAAACTTTTTAGATATGAATTATTTTGCAAATAAACTTTTTACATATGAATTATTTTGAATCCAAATATGATTTAGAGTTTATATTTATGTATTACAGATACAATTCCGCTGTTGCGCATCGTATCGGTGAGTCACGAATAATTTTTTATTTAATTCGAGGTAATGAATTTGTAAATATTACAGATAGACGTGATATTTCATAGATTCATCGTCTTGAAATGGATGGGCTGGGATCTGTTAACGTAAATGTTTAAGCCTAGAATAATCGCCTGTCGAAGCAGTTGTACACGAGATTACCCAAACCGTATCAATAACAAATGAATTGATATGCCTCTAAACGCAATACGGACTTACGCATGAAAATTCTACGCGATCATCAATCAAGTATTAGAAAATTATTATTATTATTTCCAATATTTTCGGATTAGGATTTTTTCTTAATTCAAGTCGATCTTCAGAATATGTTATAAAAAGTATCGTATAATAATAATAATATACTGAAAGAAAAGATTGGCTGCTGCAACAAATTAGATGGTAAAATATAGCATAGCATTTTTAATTGGCTGGTCAATTTTTGGTTGCAGCAGCCAATTTTTGATTGCGTTAGCCTATCCGCAATGTTAATATAGAATTTCGATAGGCTAACGCAATCCGAAATTGGCTGCTGTATCGAATTAAAAATGCTATGTCATATTGAACCAATTTTTTCCTTCAGTTTATTGTTATATAATAGGATATTTTGTGTATATGTCTCACGAATTTTTATCAATTTTTAAATATATGAATTGTATTACGGTAAGACAATTATATATGAGGAAGAGGGAAGTTGTTTCTTTTTATTATTCTGCGAAAATTTTTCTTACCTCGTGTACAACTGTGTCCTCGGGAACCGGTGCTCCATCTGAAACAAAGAACAGGTCTTTGTGAGAAAGATTGCATCTTACTGGTAGGATTATGTGCGACATATGCGCAACATGGTTAAATTGCGGGTACCGATATTTACGACCCAGTTATGCACCGTGGGCAAAGAGCGAGATATTTCTCGAGAGAAAAACACGCAGCCAAGAGGTATGTAGAAGCGACTTCAATAGTCGATATCGAGAAACTCGATAAAATACACGATTTATTAATTGCATCTATTAATGATTACCCTCGATAAAAGCGTGAATAGATCATCGCCCGCATGCAGCAGTTGCATGTTCAATCGCGATTTCCAAGAAGCTTCGTGGAATATCTTGAGAATGCCATATCGATTTATTATATTGGCAGTTACAGAAAGATACCGTATAGTAGAATATGTACATACAATAAATCGAGTATTTACGCTTTCATTTCTTATGGAATTAAGAAGTATATCTGAATTTTGTGCAACCGACGTTCATTTTTTTTTACATAAGCCGCTTTATAACGATGTTTGAATTATAGTACAGTGCTTTTTTAAATTATTTCTATGTTGTAAACACAGTACTCGCAGTCTCCTATAAAATGATACGTTTTATTATTGCAATACGAAAGGGATAAGTTTCTACGGAATATAAATTGGAATTATTTTGTCCGTAAAACCGGCTATTTTTGTTCTTGAAATAAATTCGTTTATTTTAATTGATTTTTATAATCGTAATCTTTTTGTTAACGTTTAAATGTTAAATTATACTTACGCTCCTTTTGCAGATTATCGGTCGCGTATAAATGAAATTTATTTAAAAATACATGTTATGTAAAAAAGATAAGAAAAAAGATTCCGCGTTGTTTCGGTCGAGCATCTATAGTCGGGCTATTATTAATTAATCCGCGGACATCGAACTTCCTTGATTAGTTTGTACCTTACCGACAGGCGATCTTACCGTTTCTTTTATACTCGACACAAGAGAAAGTCAATTACGTCGATGACAAGTCGACGCTTACCGAGGGTTTAGTGCGTCTCCAGAGATCCTTGCGCAGAGCGTGTATAAAGTTAAGACCCTTATTTCCTCGGCTCTGCTTGTCAATCGGTGTCTGAGACACATGGCACCGGGTTGACAACGCTTCCGACATTCCCGTCTTTTTTTTATCTTCACAAATCTCACGAGCGCACTGACCACGGACAGTTAACGTTATGAGTGAATTATACCAGAAGTAATCGTTTTTAATGAGATATACGATATTTACGTAATACGACTAAGCAACGACTGTAATAAGAAAATCACCCGCAATGCAATGCAGATTAGTTCTGTGAATACGCATATTTATTCTCGCAGTGACTGACTCGATCTTTTCATATTTTGTTTTTTTTTTCAAAGCACTGTCTTGATTTATCCAGTCGCTCATTCGCTACGAAGGCTATCCGATTTTCGGATCGCATCGAAAGGAACTAGCTCAATGGACTTGTTAAATCACGGTCTGTCGACGGTATTTCACCACGCCAATTACGGCTCGCCGCAATGTAATGAGGCACCAACCAGCAATTTGTTGGTGTGATTCCGCGGGATTCTCGTAATTTATCGTGATTAGGAATCACGGGCCTTGACCACTTTCCGTTTTGATCGTAAAGAGAGATACAACACCTTTGATACGTATAAAAAAAGAGAAATTTTTAACCAAATATTGTTAAAAAATATTTGACATAGCAGTAATATAATTTCAAAATAGACTGAAATGTATGAAAGAAGTTTGACTACAGTTTGACTTATGAATAAAACGATTAATAAAACTACTATGATATTTATATTGAATAATGTGGAAAAATAAAAATATCGTAATTCACGTTTAAATAAATATTAATAATATTCGTTTACTAATTTAATACATATCAATAATATTTGTTTAGTGCAGGAAATATGATATTACTTGATATAAAGTTTGTATGTATTTTTATGTTATTGCTCATTAAACATAAAAAAATTGTTCTGGTTGTAAAATTTGCAAAATTAGCTGGAACAATTGAAAGTAATTGACATAATATTCGTCAAACGGAAGTGTAAAAATATGTTCTAAGCAATAGAGTATAAATTTACTCCGGTATGCATCGGTTCTTTCAAGTTAGACTGAGCATGAAAATGTCAATTAATCGCTAATAGTCTATACATTCACACTTGGTTTCGTTTGCTACATTTATTTTCGTAGAAGAGATCTGCATTGAGCTCAGCGAGGAAACGTTGCATGATGACACGGCAATCGGTCTTCCTTAAATACGCATGACTTACTTTACTTTCTAGTGACGAACCGCGAGCGCTTTCTGCATAATAGAACAATCAAGTCCGGGTGACGAAAGGTACGCAGGCTCCGTGTTTCGTACGTAATGCGATTCTTGAGTAATAGTTCAAGCTGTTGGCTGTTACTTTCGACAATGCCGCTGCGAGTTGTTGGATCCGAGAATTAATATTGTGCATTTTAAATAAAATATATCGTGTATTTTTTTTTGTCCACAGATTGTACGAGCATTGCGGAGTTGATATTCGTCGCTTCCAATCATGTATTAATAGATTCATCGTCTATGCTCTGATAGAAACTCATTCAGTTCATATTTCTTTTACTTACTAATTATATATATCGTTCCCTTATTTTAAAAGTAACACAACTAAAAACATGTGGTTTTTTAAATTATTACTATGAATAAGTTAAGCAGACTTCTACCAATCATCAAAAATAAACTAATCGTCCGGCGAATTGCACTTGTGTTGTTCTTAAATTTTTAAAGAGATTATAATTAATACCTTCTACAAGAGTGACACATTTTAAGCTGTCTCATTTTTATGAATAAAAAAGAGAGCCTTCTATTTTTGTTGATATTATTTAATTAGTCAATTTTGTGTGAAAAATAGTTTTTTCTTTTTATAAAAAACTTAATTTTTTAAGTTGTGATGCTTTTGAAGAGAGTAAGAGGACGATATATGTATATTTATCGTAAGAACATTAACACACACACATATATAATCTTATTAAAAATATGTTAAAACGCTAGCAAGTTCTAATATGAAATAAACATTTCTCTTACATGAGTAATTATATTAATATATATGTCTATATCCAGAGAACAGGTTGCTTCGATTTAAAGAAAGTTTTTGGTTTAACCGTATATAGCAAAGAAACTTTCTTTAAATCGAAGCAATCTTTTTTCTGAGTGTACCTCGATATTTTTACGCCTTTTATAAGAGAATGCACATGTTACTTATTATTAAATATTAATTTGTCGTCTACATGGCCCATTTTCCATACCACCCAGCAACAATGGAGATGATACCAGTGCGGGAACTTTATTTCCTCGTGTGTGGCATCGTCACATTCTCAACATTGTCCTAACAACACCATTTGCAACATAGCCGGAGATGACGCTTTATTATTGCGCTCGCTTCGCGTGAAAAAAAAATATTACGCAATCATAACTTGATGAGAGTCGATAAACTTCGCAACATCTATATATTGCTATACGATTTATGACGATTCTTTTATTAATCGAAACTTCTAATTAACTGAAATTTACGTTATGTATTTAAGAGAACATTCTTTTGCAAAGGATAAAACGATTGTCATAGTATCGCAATGTAATGCAATATAGTTAAAGTAAGCTTAATATCCGCATTCTCAATAAAAACAATTATATAATTAAGCGAATATAATTGGAGGTTATGGTTTATGCGTAACTAATGTGAAGGCACTAAAAAGTAGGGTTAATGATAATAAGAATCGATTTAGAAAAAGAAGCAATTTTTCATTGCTACGTAAACCCAGATTGTATTATAAGTTTTTATTTTGTCTATTGAATGCTTTTCTATCCGGTTGCATGTTCTAAGCTACCACTTGTTATTTTGTGGGATTTTTAGTTCTAACTATGATTAGGAGAAATTAGCATGAAGTTAGTACACCATATTTTTATTTGTGAGTTTTTGGTATGAAAAAAATGTGGAATTTTTTTATTTTTATAAATATCTGTAGAACTATATGAGAAGTATTGCTGTGGAACTGTCATTTTTTATATTAATAGAATGTCATGCTAATTACACAAGTTAGATTGTATCTGTAAAGTTAGTACGACATTCTATTAATGTAAAAAAAATTATGACAGGTTCAGTAGCACTTCTCATAGTTCTACATAGTTCCTTATAAAAATAAAAGAAAAACTTCTGCATTTTTGATACTAAAAGCTCAAAAATGAAAATATGATGCGCTACTAATTTCGGGAATCTAGCATCTCCCTCTAAAATACAAAAAAACAAGATAAATATTACTAATTTTGAAAACAGTTCCCATTACTTACTACTCAAGTACTACTATATAGTTAATTTAAAAACAAAATTCGAACGGTTACCAATTTTTAATATGGAAGAAAGCACGACACATTTTTCTCCATGTCCAAGTGTTGTGCTATCTTCTATATTTAAAATATAAAAGTTGATAATTGTTGTACTACTGGAGCTATTATTATTTTTATATGTTAATAGTAATTTCATAGATCCGTTGGAGAAACTTTCTAAATCTATGATCAACTATCAAGTATTTTTATATTTACAAGAAATTAAAGTTCTTAAATATTATGAATGTTTTAATTAATTAATTTATATGTTTTAATACTCTCTTTAATGTACATACTAATTTATATTCCATAAAAAAATGAATAGTTATCTTGATCCGTACAAATGGTTATTGTTAACGATTATTTAATATTTTTGGTAAAATTATACAGTATTGTAATTTAAAATTTATGAAATATAAAATCTGCACTATATCTCAAAGTAGCTTAGAATAAATGAATTTGTAATGCATAAATTTTTCTCGTGCAACATTCATGAGATTACATGCTGATGCTGATTAAAAAAACAAGACATACTAAGGCTTGCCGTTTTCCTCTTCAATATAACCGTGCACTTACAATTAGAAATTGTAATAGGTACGCGAACGACATAATCAAATCGCAAATCAGGGGTT